TGTTTCGTGTAACAATTGAATGAATTATACTTGTGGAAAACATGAAGCTAATGTAAATAAAAGTCCAAACTGTTTCAAGGGAAAAAAACAAAACAAAAAAATTGCTGATTGCACGAAATTGCTCGGTATTGATGTTTGAAACATGCCAAATCGCCGTTAAAGTGGACCAAGGGGGTAATTACGTTTTTGTCGGTTCTTGGAGCTTTGCGCAATAAATTATTGGTCGGAGTTACAAACTTTGGGCTGACATGTCGAGAAAAAATGTAGCCAGACATGATATTAACGAAAATTTGTACTTTAGTGTGTAGGGCTAGGCATAGTGATGGTAATCATACTTTACTAAGGCCTGATATTTTTGACAAAACCTCACGAATTGAGAGTATAAAATATAATCGAATCGATAGATTGAGGAGAGAAAAAAAAGTCCTCTGCAAACATCAAAGCAAAAGAGATAATACATTACAAATGTGAACGATAACCGGCATTGACCGTATTTTGTGTTTTGTGTTGTCAATTACTGACAGTTATATAGTATAGGTAACGTGATAAAACGTTAAAAATGTGTTACAACAGAACCATTTTTTTACCCCTTATTTACCTGATACCGATTATCGTAGTTATCTTGAAGTTGTTTTGACTGTCCAATTCATGTCAAAAAGGAGCTATCGGTAAATGAATAATACACTTTTTTTCAACTTTTTGGTTTACTTAACCTAATAAATTGTAAAAAGTCGTAAAGTTAAATATTTTTTGTCCGCTTTTACTAAAACCAAATTTATTTTTCAAAAAAATTACTATTTAAATTTTTCACTTTTTGAAAAAAATGGATCGATTATCAATAAATGAATATACAAATTTTCTTAACCATAATCCATCGACTTACAAAAATAGACATCAAAAAATTGAATTCACTTCAAAAGTTATTACACAGATAATTTAATTCTTTATTTTAAAACCAGTACCAAAAATGAAGATTTTAATGTGTAACTTTTTATTAGATATGATGTAGCAAATTCTCAATTTAGTACATCGGAGTACATAAGTTATATTATTTAGAGTTAAAATAATAATTGAGCAACTCAAAAATTCTGTACACGCTCGTATAGGAAAATTAAAAAATCGCAAACCGATTGATAAATATGCAATTTAAGAAATTCTTTTTATTTCTTCCTTTCCTGGATATTTATAATATGTAACAGCCAACAAGTGCCATTTTCAACCGAGATGTGATGGGAAAAAAGAGTTGAAAATTGTTTAATGCTTACCTTCACGTAAAAGTTTTTGTCAATGATGATACCCCACTTTTAAAAAAATTTCCGTCACAATGTATTTAAAATATTCAGCGGACAGTGGCTTCGTTATTTAGTACCGTACCAAGCCAGGAGCCTTAGAAGGGTACATACATAATAAACCAGGTTACTGCCAATTTTTATTATACTTAGAAAAGAATTTGATATTAGTATAAGCGCATGTGCAGAATATGACAAATTACTTATCTATCAATTTTCACACAACCAAAATCACGACGACGTCATTATCTTTATGATTTCAATAATATCAACTTGAAAATTAAATTTACAAAGACTCAGCACTTTACATCCGCAAATTACATGTAAATATCAGTATTTCTGAAAATACTTTTTAGCACATACTGTAAAGTCACAACTACCCTAATTTAACACCGGAAAAAAATAAATAAACAATTACAAGAAGCTCCAAGGTAAGCTTTTAAAATCACAACGATAATCTACAGAACTCATTTTGTGGTCCCTCCGAAAATAATTCCTAGCTGATTAATATTAAATCAATAAATAAATGATTTTAACAGATAAATCGAAGTACATAAATTAACAAAAGAGCTTTATATTCACCAAAATATCTGATGACTAAAACTGGTTTTGAGTTTCTCAAGAGTTGGTATTCTTCTTTTTGTATTTAGATGCTAAAAACTATTTCAAATGTTTCACACCTAAGGTATAACATCCACGTAACCATATTTTCATTTAATCGCACCCCGGAACTTTGTGGCTCTCAAGATGAGATTCGTGCAATTTATCATTCCACACAGGTATGGGTATATTATCGTCTCTTGGCCCATACTATTAACTATATAAAAAGGAAACTTGCGGTGGGGGAGCGCGTGTTCTCGTTTTCGAGCTTCCAAAAGTGTCGTTTTGCATAAAACGTCGCCTCCTCGGGAAGTCGTAGGAGGCTATAGATAAGAGTGATTTGCGCTAATGACCGGCTGTGCTGATGGCTTCCGTGGCGAAAAGTATAGGCTCGTTGTTTTGTATCGATCGCGTGATGCGGAAAGCCACGGTGTAGTTCGTGGATTTGGAAGCGATCATTTTTATTTCTTACTTAGAAAGTTGATATTTTATTTTATTTTATTTTTATTTTATTTTTTTTTTTTTTGAGTAAGTAGATGATATCGTTTACTTGGTTTACACTTTGCAACTTGGTGGAAATGATCAAGACTTGAAACTCCGATCTGTGTGATTACGAGCCTGTCTCTCTACTATATGCACTCGACCTTATAGAGTAAGGGATTTTGGAATTTTCGTCGTGAAAAAGTGGACTATTAAAAAAAAGTTTATTCCGTAGTTTAGATTCCCGAACTTATATTATATTGGTATATTTACATGTCGCAATTAATACAACTTTCAGGGATTTTTAGAGGTTTTTGAAGTAAATTACCACTTACTTAGTGGTAATTGATCAAGTAGATTGTTGGTATAAATAACAAAGAATCTAATTCTACACAAAAAATAATTATTTCAAGCGTTAACTGCATTTTTTTAATTTTCCATGTTGCATGTTTAGATGTTGTGACATAACTTTTTCGTTTTTCATTCGATTACTATATTGTCTAAAGCTTGGTATGATTCGTAAACGATTTCGAATGGAATACCTGTAATTGACGAGGACTTTTCTAAAAATATTCAACGTGTATGCAATTTGCTACTATTGCTTATACAAACACGTGAAGAAATGGTGTAAAAATTCACGTTTTCGTGTAAATGGTGCCTAACTTTTTACATGTCAGATATTTTCAGAATTATCTTTGTCAACTCCATACTAAATCTTTTACGAAATAATCTAAGCGTATGAAAATAGAAATCGAATGAAAAACGAAAAAGTTTTAAAACTTCTATACCCGAGCTTGATTGTATGGATACCGAGACTTAAATATGAAAAAAAAAACATGTTTCTTTAATACCTCAAGTACCCCTTTTTTATATGAAATTAAACTCGTTGTTATTAAGTATGAACAATCTACTTCATCAATTATTGCAAATGTAGTGCTAATTTACTGTAAAAACCCCTTAAACGGTGTCTTTCTAGCTCTGAAACACAAGAATGGCAAACCCGTGTAAAATTTATAAATTAATCTTGTGATGTACAACACGCACATCAAAGCGGGAAATGGAAATTCTAGTACCAAATCTATAAATTTCGATGACAAATTTTAGACAGCCGACAGGACTATTTTCATGATCAATTACCATGATCGCCCAATACCCCATATTTTTCCCACCACAGGGACCTTCGAGATAAATTAAACGGCATTAAATTGCATCGTACTCCTCGTCGCTTATACATACTCAATCCCTAGCTTGTCCTCAAGCCTTTCAAAAGCCTCGTCAATTCCAACTCGCACGCACTCCCACTTCCGCACTTGATATAAGCCTGTTAACGTTATAAGTACATCAGCACAAACAAAACCACTAGATACTTGATACTTTGCAATGAAAAAATTGAACAAGTGCCCAAGGAACTGAAGATCTTTTTGTTTATGAGCACGTTGTAAAACACATAATTTTTAATAAGTATACAATAACAATGATAATAATAATAGAGTACGTACTGGTGTGGTACACAAAGTCTGGAATGATAAAATCAATCTTTCTCGCCTGACTGTCTTAGAAGGCAAGTATTCGTCTAGCAAAGTGGACTAGTCAACATCCTCCAAATGTATGAAAAATGCAGATATTATTTGAATAAAAATCATTTGGTTTCAGTAGAGGGATTATTATTGTTCTGTTCGAATAGCACGTATCGGAGAATATTAGGATGAGATTTGTTCGCGCATCCGTATTGCATAAGGAAACTGTAAGAATTTGCGTTACGAAATGGCTGCAAAATTTGCGAGCGAGTGCATGTGGATCATTTTATTCGAAACCACTTTTGTTCTTACACAATCCGTATTAAAACGTTGGCACAAGTGTGCTTATTTATGATAAGTGTTTCATTTTTCAAGAGGTGGATGTAGTCCGAGATGATTATCAAAATAAATAATAGCAAATCAGATAGTTTCAACAAGAGGGATGCGATCTACGTATCTAGTGTCAATACTAGATTTTGACATTACACAGGTTCATTTAAAAGGGATTAGACTATAAGAACTGTAAAGTTTAATTATGTTGTTATTATCATTGCTATTGTTAAATAAAAACTTCTACTGCACCAATGTATTATTCAAGTTTCATAATACTTGGTTGTATATGTTTAATCTTGTATGCTTTCAAGGGTTGCATGTTAAAGAGCACTTCTACATGAAATCATGACTATGTTTTGAAAAATATCATGCTCAATTCAAATCAATGAAATATAATAAAGTTAATTGTACTATTTTGTCCTCGTGTGTTTCTTTAAAATGAAGTAAACACCAGTACAATGGCATCCAAAAATTAATTTAAAAGAATTCACTCTGTGCAATAATAAAATGGCACAACAAATTACGTATTGTATTACCATGAACTGGAGCCAGTAGGGCTCCACATCATCAACGTCATAATTAATAAAACAAAGTTCTCCGGTCGAAGGCGTTGTGCTTCTATTTTCCATTATTCCTCAAACTAGATGCTTATCATTGGGCTCCTTCCAAAATATTTAAAGTTAATTTTTCCAGTTTTATTATTTTATTTCTTAATTTTAAACGCTTTTTTTTCAAAACAAATAAACAATCTTCAAAGACAGTGTATGATTTTTAGACGTACCCTATTTGATGAACGATAGAGAGAAGATCCTACAGGGCCAACAAGGCCCTGTTGTACAGCTCCGATATCACCTACGTAAAAGATGGGCTGATTTGTTGCACTCCTAAGACCCTGCATTTGAAAAGAATTGAATACATTAATGAACGATAATTTTTTACAACTGGAGAGATAAAATAGAATTCAGTTATGCCACGTTCAAGATCAAACTATTTTTCAAGAGTTGTAAACAAAAACTTCTGATTTCGTACAGAGTGATTTATTCTTTCACCGATGACAATTGTATATTGAAAATTTTTCTTACCTGGTATCCATGTTCCAATTCAGTGTATGACATGACACTGTCATTGAAAATAAAAGTAATTAACGTTCCAGTGGCGAAACTGCCTATATATCCTTGGTTAGTCAGCAGTTTGCAGTAACAACTAAAACCAAACGTTTTTTCACAATTACAATATTTCATGCTGCACAATTTCATCATAAAAATTAACCAATGCCAGCATTATTACTAATAATTTCAGTGAAAATTGAAACACTATAAAAATACCAGCGGAACTAAAGGAAAATTTGCAACAAAACCACAAGTTTTAACACTCGCAATATCGCAAAATCAATCTCAATGTCAAGGCGAGAATTAAAGAGGTATTTTTAACACCCAGAGAAGGAGAATGTGTGAATCGATAGGTATATATGTATAACGTGAGCGCGCTTCCTCGTTTTCCGCACTTCAATTTCATTTCATCCCCAAAAAAACTCGACGAGGCCAAAGCGCTTATTTCGCAAATAAAGACACTCACTCAAGTAGAATTTATTCATACAAAAACCTTTTATTTCAATTCTTGATAAGAAAAATCTCTCGGTGTAGCTCCACTCACATGAGCACTGGAGGGTTGACGTGTGCAAAGGAAACACAGGCGCGCGTATATGTAAGTACAACGACGATGGAAATCTAGTCTGATCCAAGATATACTATATACTTTTTTCCTCCAAGTGCGTCAATCGAACAAATGAGACAGAAAGAGAGAGAGAACACACTGTCATGGTGGGCGAGGGTGAGGGACGTGAAGGGAACTCCGAAACACACGTACACCACCTATGTGTATGATGTTTATTTATTATGTCAGCTGATTGGGAGTTGATCTGTCTTTGTTTTTGTGGCTCAGCAGACGATTTTGCGCGAGAAAGAAAACGCCAATGCACCTATATATACTTAAATACTTAATTGGCAAGTTTTTTTTCTTGACAAATACTTTTACTTTTTTATTCGCACTGCTCCGTGGTTCGTAGTTCAATAAACTTGATCGATGAATCAACGATTGAATTTAAAACAGAAATACTTAGCGGATCGTCGAGAAAATTTTTCGTCTTTCACGAGTCCGCCACCAGACTTCGACTCGTCTTCGATTGCAGCAGAGGCCCGCCCGCATGTGTGCGAGAGAGCGAGAGAGATATATTTTTCGAGAGAGTAACCCGATTCGACCGCAAACATATAAATTGTACAGATGTGAATGGTAAAAAATTTATTTTAAAACCTAATTTCTTACAAAAAACTTATAAGCTAAATTATTAAAACTGGTTAAAAAAGTACTTCAAGTCCAACAAATCGAGCATTTGCTACGGTACATGAACATAAAACTTGTCGCACTATTTCATCAATGTTAATTTAATACTTGTTATCACTAATCACTGTTGTTCATCTAAAATACTTATTCTAACTCCATTATTTAATTTTGTTCTACATGAGTTATGACGGCTATATATATGTATATAATTTTATCTAATAAGTATTTGTATTTAATAAGTACCATTAATGAGTACAAGAGATAGAAAGTCAATTGATGATAACATATTTGAGCTGATAAACGAAGTCTCATTACTGTAAAGATAAAACATCAATGAAACACGTTTGAAAGATGTATAATTTATATCATGGTTACCTTCTGCAAAAATTTTTTGTTTCTTTCCCAACGTAACTCTGGCATTTACTGGTGTTAAGATTTTTTGAAATAATATACTATCTATTTACAATCGGCTCTTTGTTGAGTATAAATCATCATTTCATTATTTAAACATGTATTGAATTCATGTTAAAAATAGTACACTGAGAATAAAATAAAAATAAAAATCATTGTATTAAAAAATTAAACAGTAAATACTGCAGTCTTAGAGATGTGCGTTATGTACAATTATTATTAATTGAAAATATTTTTGATACTAAAACAATAGGTTTAAAAAGTGTCAACAGTCAGTGTACTATGTTTTTTGATTTTGTAAATAATCTGCTGTGAAAATATATATATNCTGTGTAGTAATAAAAATATATCGAGGTTATGTTGTGTGCGATTGTCAAACGATTCGATTCGTGATTAGTGACACAATCAATACGTTCGGATCGAGATTTTAAATTTTATCAATTATCGAGGATATAATAAAAACAATAATTATAGATAAGAAATCATTTTTCAAAAATTAGGTTATATATATATATTGACAAATTATCTTAGTCATAGTCCTTTTCAAAGCGATCATCATGACCCCAATTTTTACTATTGGTATTCTGTTTGGATGACCAGATTTGCTCATCGGTCAGCTTGTCTTTTTTGCCTCGTGGCGATTTTTTGAGATTACGGTCTTTGTAAGTATCCAAAGCTCCAGCTCCCCGAATAGCTCGAGGCACGGGCCTCTCGTTAACTGCGTTTGGTGGGCTCTTCTCACCTACTGCAAATGCATTCATTGATTTCTGTCTTGCGGCTTTCATTGAATTAGAAACAGCATTATCTGGACTGGGCTGCTCAGTTGGCGTAATAATTGTCCTAATGTTAGATTGTGCGTTATCTTTTTCTACTAAAACACAAAGTCAAGAATAATGTAACATATATGGTAAAAATGAATAAATAATAATGCAACTATCTATTTACCATGAATATTATTTTTAGAAGTAGATTCATTATCACTTCTGTCACCAGTTAAAATTTCTGCCAGTAGCTTATTGTCAAGATCATTCAAATAAAATTCTTTCAGTAGCTCAGTGAGTGGTGCATAATTTTGATTTGCAAAATCAATGATAAAAAGCAACATACCACGAGATTTTGCACTTACATTACGATTAATTAGAACCAGTCTAACTTTCATGATAAAATGAGCTAATTGAGTGGGAATTGTATCAAATATTTTCCGACCATTTGTGTAAATCTGAATTTGAAATTATTAATATTAAGAAATAAATACGAAAGAATTGTAGTTAAAAATTGTTTCACCAAAACGTACTTGTGATGTTACAATGTACACATCAGGTTCTTCTGATGTTTCTAGAAGTATATTAAGATAATCAAGAAGTGGGTTTGCAAAAATGTCCATTGGCCTGTTGCTAATTCTCAAGTTATTATACACTTCTCCTAATAATACTACAGCATTGCGAAAGGCAAAAATACTATTTTGTTTAATTTCATCTTTCTCTAAAAAATCAAAAAAACGTGGGTGTACATTTGCATACTAATTGCTTCAATAAATAAAATCAGTGGATAAAAAGTTTTTATACCTTCGTAGTTCTTTTGTAGTTTTTGCAATACCATAAGCCTTAAGCTGTTATCATTGATAGAATGTATTTTACTATCACAGCAAGCAAGTGCTAATTTGATGCAAAATTGTCTATCACTGTTAAGAGCATGTTCATGTAGTTCATCATAAACTTCCCTGTAGAAAGATTACACGGTATGTAGTGGGCATATTTTAAAACTATGTGCTGTACAGTTATTTTTTAATTACTTTAGCGATTTGTTTTTAATAGCATCGTTGATTATTTGCACAATTTCATCAGTTTTAACACCAGAAGTGGCATCCTTGATGCTAAGATTGGCAATGAAGTTTATTAGATCATTGTATTTTATAGGCATTGACTGACCAGGTCTTCGCAAGGGAATATCTTTACCATCTGAAAATCCTCTGCCTCTTCCAAAAGACATGTTTGACACCCAACGATTTAACAATTCTGTCACAATGTCACACTTTGATTTTCAAACTGAAAAAATTTTTACTTAATATACAACAATGACGTGCAATCTGTCTGAAAATTTCAAAGGCCAACTTAACCAAACAATCAATCTTACAAACTTAAAAATTCTGTCAAGTATCCAGCTATTTAGCCATCCATTCAGATAGACGTATGCATTATTTTTCAATTACTTACTTATCTTATCTCGTCTCCAGTATATTAAAATTAGGTTAAAACTCTCTTCGTGCAATCCTTTGAGAAAAAACACGGCCAAGTAAAGAGATATACATACAGATGTTTCATAAAATAATTATGTTCAGAAATCTTAAACATCCATTATTTGTTGTAATTTTTTCGGCATCAGGTAAACATGTTTTTTAAGTTTCAAGAGCCGGCAAAACAAAATAAGATAAAAATTTCATCGTTTTCACAGCAATGCCGATTGCGGAGGGAGAGTAAACGCCGTAAACGGAGAGAAACTCTCGTACCATGAAGGTGCGTTTCTATGTGGAATCATTAAATTATTTTTTTACTGAAGATTTTTTGAACCACTCAAGAGAAAAAGAAAAAAAAAGTTTATATAATAAATATGACTAGAGACAGAAATGATTGATCATTCGATGAGCAAATAAATATTTTCATAACTAATCGACTGACGTATAAAGTACACTTCAGAAATTTATGCTAATGCCATTACATTATGCCACAACACGAGGCATTATTCTGATCTGTCTCTGAACCAGAACTTTAGTATGTCAATGATTACTATGACTAGTGAAAAATGTCAGTATAAACGTAAAAAATTCGAAAAATTTTTTCCAACCACATATATTTTACGTAAATGATCTATTTAATTTTTACATGAAACTAAATTATTGCTTTGTAAAAAATTTCAGTTTTATTTTTTTATTCTATAAGCTAGGACTAACATGAAAATCTTTTCTCGTGCTTACATAGCATTAACATTAAATTTACTTGTAAGAAAATCTTTGTAAAAATAATTAAATTTCTATTTATTTTACACCCTGCACTCTGAAGGTAGTACAATAACCTCATGAGGAAAGGTTACACATCACAGTATACTTTAACAGTGGTTCTACAGAACAAAGCTCAGATTCATCATGCATATGATATATTTCAATGCCGTCTTAAATGTTTCAATTTTCTATTATAAATTGATCATGGACATTTACCACCCAGTGGAAAATCAAGATAAGTTTACATGTAACTATAACAAAGTCAACTAAAAACACATGTTGACTTAACTTTCATGGCAAAGCAAAACATTTACAATCACTTTTAAATTGAGTATACTTTACATGTAAATATAAAACTAATTATCTTTGAAGAATAAAAATACTATTTGTAACTGGTGTCGATGCTAAATAGAACTAATTTTTAGAGTAGAATATACCAAAGGAAAATAACTGGAGTTGTTTTGTTGTTAATGTTACTATGTAAAATAACATTGATTTATTTGTTTGTTCAAAAAGGGACACGTGGTAAAGAATATTGGTAAACAATATAAATTTTTAAAATTGATTTTTATTTAATAAGAAAATTAGAATCGAAGCTTCTGGAAAAACCATTTGTTTTTGCCTGATTTGTACCTGAAACAAAAGAGAGACGTCATTAGACAACAATTTATTATGATAAATATATTCGTTCAAGTAACATGTAGATTTTGAAGAAATCATAATATACTAGACTTAAAAAACAGTTACACAAGCGCTTGAAGGAAAAGTAACAGTAAAATAAAACTCATTATCTCAAGTACTTAAAACCATGCTACATTGTAACAACTACCAGTAACTTGTTTGATAGAACTAATGCATATTCTTATTTTCAACGTTCAAACAATCTTTTGTTATTTTTTTCAAATCAGCATTACAAAATATAAACATTATGTAATGGTTGATAGAAATTGGCTGTCACTATTTACCAATGGTCAGTTTGAAATATGAAAATATATCTTTACCTCTCTTCAAATTTCACTCTAGTTTGAAACCTGATCTTTTTCCTTTTCATGGGATCTTTCAAATCTTTTGGCGCAGATTTTTCCAACTGTAAATCAACTGTGTATCTCGTTGGCATCAAGTGGTTGTAGTTTAGAATCTGAAAAAAATAGAAAAATATGTTTCAATCCATTCGAGTTTTAATACAACATATAACTTTTCAAAAATATTGGCCCATAATTTTAAAGAGAATATTAATAAAAATTGGCAGTAGAATGTTTCAAATATATTATGGCAATTGTAATATTTTGGACACATTTTTAAGTATCAACCGTTTTTTCGTCAACTCGGCATAGAATCTACATTGATTTAAAGATAAAAAAACACCCTCTTCAAAGATGAGTTGTAAGAACCTAGTTACAATTACTTAAAAAAAATAATGAGCACAAGTTAAAAATTTGGAGAAGTGAATCCCGAAACTCTAAAACGTAATATATATGCCAAAGAAAAAAGAACTGAAACTTACCTTCACGAAGGGCTTTATCTTTGAGCGCTTGTGAATTTTTGCTTTTCCCATCCTCTTGTGGACTTTGCGGGGATATCGGTCAATACCAGCTACCAGAGCATGCCCGTATTGTTTGTCAGTAGTGCCATCGTCATAATTTTTCATAACAATAGCTTTTCTTCCTGCGTACCGGCCACTGAGGACCAGCACGACTTTCCCAGGTTTCATAATCTTCACCATTTTTGTGGTGAATGTCTACAAGAAAAAAAAAAAACAAGAAAAACGGATTACTTAAAGTAGCAACAAAATCTGCTTTATAATAGGGTTCGAGATCCACTTTAAAAGCAACAAAACAACGAAACACTCGACTTCTTCGTTATGTGTTCCACGGTAAACAATTACTCCACATAACCTACGTGCACATGTGAAGAAAAACTGTTTTGGCTAATTTCTTTTGACCAACAACTGAATCACTACTACGATCAGACAACAGTTATTAAACAAAAGGCTTCACTGATAATATTAAAAACAATTGAATTCGCGAATCAATGATGGACGACTGTAACACGTTGACGGTTATGGGGAAATCACTGGTCGAGACAAAATACAATGTAACACTTGACAAAAAATTTTATTGCCTCGCGAAACTAGAATATGTCGAAAATTTTAATTTGTTGCAACTGTAATTAGACGATGTTTCATTGCTTCGATGTTTGTGGATTAATTTAACAGTAGATCGAGAAACAAACCTTACGGTTCCGATACCGACTAAAAAGAACTTTTAACCTAACTCTAACTAAAGCTCCGGAGTCCGGAATTTCACCTCCTCTCTCTCTACGTTTTAAGTACACGTTTACGTTATTTGAACAAAGGTGGCGCGCCAACATCCTCCCCCCTTCCCCTCCTGACCTGATGTCCGCGAACTTTGCAACTTTGTGGCTTTGTGCACAAAAATTTTTTTTTTGTGGAAAGATTATTTTATTTCATTAATTAAAAAAAGTAAAAGTAATGAAATAACCAATCTTTTAAAATTAAGAAATATTGCATTATTCAGTGTGTTCCGAAATACACTTACTTCACTAAAATAACATTATGCATTTACATCAAGAACTAATTGAACTTTTTATGAAAAACGTTTTTATTTCGCTACTTTTAATACATTTTCAAAGATACTTGATTATATTTTTATACATTTATTCTTTATACATTTTATTATAGATACTCAGTATTTTTAAATTTATCTCTTATTTTCGTACAAGTTCATCTTACATAGAGAATTCACGTTTTTGTTATAAGTAATATTTTATTGTAATATAATGTTGAAAATAAGAGTTTTTGGGGTATACTATTTAGATATTTACATTTCCATACGTTTTTTTCTACCATAAATTAGTACTTAAATAATAAACAACTGATTTTAGAGTCTGATTAGAAAAAAATACATATAATAGCTGTACAATCGTAAAACAGTCCAAAAAAGTAGTATAGATTAGCGACATTGCAGCAAGATGTTTAATGTATCTGTATGAATAATTCATTAATGGTGTTGATGTAGATGTATATAAATTTCTAAACTAACAAAGCAATAACTTATTTGACGTATTTCTCCATGAATTTCCGGTGGAATTCGCTTCTCAAAGAGTCATTAATAAAAACATCGTGCTTCTTTTTGGGTTCTGATCTGGCACAATTTTTAAAAACAACATCATCATCCCATCTCCTGCGCACTTTCATATCAGTCCTGACACTCTGTGCGGCATAGTTCAAGAGAGGATTCCCCGACAAGATGTTCTCCATTCTGATTCTCTCCTCTTCCTGACGCTTTTCCATTTCCTAAAAAAAATCAACAAAAAAGTCTCATTACTGCTGTAATCTAATGAAAACAAACGCCCACAACAACAGTTACCTTCTTGGCTTGCTCTGCAGCACGCTCCTTCTTGATGCGCTGCAACTCAGCCATAAGTGCCTCGGTATCATCGTCGTCGCTTTCGGAGTCGGAGTCATCCTCATCCAGAGGGTCATCTGCATCTAAGCTAGTAGCAGGCACTTGATCGACTTTTTGTCTTTTGGCACTTGGAGCAGCCGCCTCTCGAGCAGGCTCTATCGCCAGTTGTCGATTACCACTGGGGCGAGGTGCTGCTGCCTTTTCTCGCTCCTCCAACTCCTTGCGAAAATCACGGTTTCTCAGCTCATCGACTGTGTTCTGGCCAGGTTCCCTTTGGAATGCATCGAACGTTAGTTTTATACACACAAGTTATATCTTGGCGTGAAAGAATTCAATGGAAAGAATAAACACTGATGAACAATTGATTTTGACAGTTAATTACCTGTATTTAAGTTTGGTGTGGGATGGTAAATCGCGACTGCTGTACTGTTTGGAGATAGCACTCAGATCTTTTTCACCGCGGCCCTGGCCACCCCGGGCTGGATCAAACGTTGGCCTTGCTGCGGTAGTCATTTTTTATTCGCTGTGTTTCTTTCCAAGGAAATTCTAAGAGTTTTAACAATTGAGTTAATAACTTTGACGTATGTGTGTATTCTGCAATAGACGACTGTGTAGTAATAAAAATATATCGAGGTTATGTTGTGTGCGATTGTCAAACGATTCGATTCGTGATTAGTGACACAATCAATACGTTCGGATCGAGATTTTAAATTTTATCAATTATCGAGGATATAATAAAAACAATAATTATAGATAAGAAATCATTTTTCAAAAATTAGGTAGTTAAGTATTCTAGTGTTTCATCATAGAATTTTCATTTTCAGATTTTGTAAAATCATATAAAGTGATTTAAGTGATTTCGTGATTTGTGTGTGCGGGACTATACGTGTGCAGCACTTCGCCCTGTCCCCATTTGCTGTAGTCTGCTATACTTAGTAGGAATAGCGCATGTAATCAAAGAGAACTATAACCTCAAGCCAAAACAAATCACTTTATTTATCAATAAAATATTTCAAAAAGTTCAAATAATTCATAAAAACTGCTGTTGTCATGGCTAAGCATCATCCAGATTTAATTTTCTGTCGCAAGCAACCTGGAGTGGGTGAGTAACAAGAATGTTTATCATAGTTTGTAAAGCCGGTAATGAGCTTAACAATCTTTTATTAAACGTGTTAATTTTTGAAAATAAGTATGGATATAAATGTTGAATACATATTTTTTGCAGCTATCGGACGTCTTTGTGAAAAGTGCGATGGCAAATGTGTCATCTGCGATTCATACGTCAGACCATGTACATTAGTGAGAATATGTGATGAATGCAACTATGGATCTTATCAGGGTAGATGTGTTATTTGCGGAGGACCAGGTGTATCAGACGCCTACTACTGCAAAGAATGCACTATCCAGGAAAAAGACGTAATTTGTGGCTCAACTTACATGTTTTTATGTCTCAAAAATGCTTTAGTTAATGTGTGATTAATTACCTCTATAATTTCAGAGAGATGGCTGCCCAAAAATTGTAAATCTTGGCAGTTCAAAAACAGACTTATTTTATGAAAGAAAAAAGTATGGTTTCAAAAGAAGATAGTATCTTTATTCTTACGTTTACATCTTAAGAATGATATTTATGCTGTAATCTTCCTCTAAACAACCCAAGTAAGTTGAAGTATAATTATATATATTGGTTTTAAATACAACAGTAAATTATCTGCAATGGATAATTTCATTTGGAAATATATTAGTGAAGAAGGACTTGAATAAATTTTCTGTACTTTTACATTTTAATGAAGAAAAAATACAAAATGATTGATTTTCTTTTTTAATGATGTGTATTTCAATTTAAATTATCTTCTTTATCACATTACATATCATAATGTATTGACTTGTACTACCAAGTGAAGACTTTTTTTCACAAACAGCTTAAACATGTATATTACCGTGAACAGTTAAATTTATTAGCCATGCAATTAAAAACACTAGGACAAGAACTTATGAATTGATAAAATTTTATTTAACACCTATGTAGAACCCTCAAATAAAAACTCACGGCTATTAAATTCAACTGCCCATCAATTGATTTATTTAACCCTTAAAATTACAAACAACGTCTTTCTAAGTTAAAATTTGTTAGGATTTTTTTCACAGCACACTTCAAACAATCCACTTCTAGTACTTAAATAATAAACAACTGATTTTAGAGTCTGATTAGAAAAAAATACATATAATAGCTGTACAATCGTAAAACAGTCCAAAAAAGTAGTATAGATTAGCGACATTGCAGCAAGATGTTTAATGTATCTGTATGAATAATTCATTAATGGTGTTGATGTAGATGTATATAAATTTCTAAACTAACAAAGCAATAACTTATTTGACGTATTTCTCCATGAATTTCCGGTGGAATTCGCTTCTCAAAGAGTCATTAATAAAAACATCGTGCTTCTTTTTGGGTTCTGATCTGGCACAATTTTTAAAAACAACATCATCATCCCATCTCCTGCGCACTTTCATATCAGTCCTGACACTCTGTGCGGCATAGTTCAAGAGAGGATTCCCCGACAAGATGTTCTCCATTCTGATTCTCTCCTCTTCCTGACGCTTTTCCATTTCCTAAAAAAAATCAACAAAAAAGTCTCATTACTGCTGTAATCTAATGAAAACAAACGCCCACAACAACAGTTACCTTCTTGGCTTGCTCTGCAGCACGCTCCTTCTTGATGCGCTGCAACTCAGCCATAAGTGCCTCGGTATCATCGTCGTCGCTTTCGGAGTCGGAGTCATCCTCATCCAGAGGGTCATCTGCATCTAAGCTAGTAGCAGGCACTTGATCGACTTTTTGTCTTTTGGCACTTGGAGCAGCCGCCTCTCGAGCAGGCTCTATCGCCAGTTGTCGATTACCACTGGGGCGAGGTGCTGCTGCCTTTTCTCGCTCCTCCAACTCCTTGCGAAAATCACGGTTTCTCAGCTCATCGACTGTGTTCTGGCCAGGTTCCCTTTGGAATGCATCGAACGTTAGTTTTATACACACAAGTTATATCTTGGCGTGAAAGAATTCAATGGAAAGAATAAACACTGATGAACAATTGATTTTGACAGTTAATTACCTGTATTTAAGTTTGGTGTGGGATGGTAAATCGCGACTGCTGTACTGTTTGGAGATAGCACTCAGATCTTTTTCACCGCGGCCCTGGCCACCCCGGGCTGGATCAAACGTTGGCCTTGCTGCGGTAGTCATTTTTTATTCGCTGTGTTTCTTTCCAAGGAAATTCTAAGAGTTTTAACAATTGAGTTAATAACTTTGACGTATGTGTGTATTCTGCAATAGACGACTGTGTAGTAATAAAAATATATCGAGGTTATGTTGTGTGCGATTGTCAAACGATTCGATTCGTGATTAGTGACACAATCAATACGTTCGGATCGAGATTTTAAATTTTATCAATTATCGAGGATATAATAAAAACAATAATTATAGATAAGAAATCATTTTTCAAAAATTAGGTAGTTAAGTATTCTAGTGTTTCATCATAGAATTTTCATTTTCAGATTTTGTAAAATCATATAAAGTGATTTAAGTGATTTCGTGATTTGTGTGTGCGGGACTATACGTGTGCAGCACTTCGCCCTGTCCCCATTTGCTGTAGTCTGCTATACTTAGTAGGAATAGCGCATGTAATCAAAGAGAACTATAACCTCAAGCCAAAACAAATCACTTTATTTATCAATAAAATATTTCAAAAAGTTCAAATAATTCATAAAAACTGCTGTTGTCATGGCTAAGCATCATCCAGATTTAATTTTCTGTCGCAAGCAACCTGGAGTGGGTGAGTAACAAGAATGTTTATCATAGTTTGTAAAGCCGGTAATGAGCTTAACAATCTTTTATTAAACGTGTTAATTTTTGAAAATAAGTATGGATATAAATGTTGAATACATATTTTTTGCAGCTATCGGACGTCTTTGTGAAAAGTGCGATGGCAAATGTGTCATCTGCGATTCATACGTCAGACCATGTACATTAGTGAGAATATGTGATGAATGCAACTATGGATCTTATCAGGGTAGATGTGTTATTTGCGGAGGACCAGGTGTATCAGACGCCTACTACTGCAAAGAATGCACTATCCAGGAAAAAGACGTAATTTGTGGCTCAACTTACATGTTTTTATGTCTCAAAAATGCTTTAGTTAATGTGTGATTAATTACCTCTATAATTTCAGAGAGATGGCTGCCCAAAAATTGTAAATCTTGGCAGTTCAAAAACAGACTTATTTTATGAAAGAAAAAAGTATGGTTTCAAAAGAAGATAGTATCTTTATTCTTACGTTTACATCTTAAGAATGATATTTATGCTGTAATCTTCCTCTAAACAACCCAAGTAAGTTGAAGTATAATTATATATATTGGTTTTAAATACAACAGTAAATTATCTGCAATGGATAATTTCATTTGGAAATATATTAGTGAAGAAGGACTTGAATAAATTTTCTGTACTTTTACATTTTAATGAAGAAAAAATACAAAATGATTGATTTTCTTTTTTAATGATGTGTATTTCAATTTAAATTATCTTCTTTATCACATTACATATCATAATGTATTGACTTGTACTACCAAGTGAAGACTTTTTTTCACAAACAGCTTAAACATGTATATTACCGTGAACAGTTAAATTTATTAGCCATGCAATTAAAAACACTAGGACAAGAACTTATGAATTGATAAAATTTTATTTAACACCTATGTAGAACCCTCAAATAAAAACTCACGGCTATTAAATTCAACTGCCCATCAATTGATTTATTTAACCCTTAAAATTACAAACAACGTCTTTCTAAGTTAAAATTTGTTAGGATTTTTTTCACAGCACACTTCAAACAATCCACTTCTAATAAGAAGTATTCGTTTAATGTTACACAATTGGTTATTGCAATTCACTCTTGCCACTATGTACACTTTACATGTCTTAAATATCCCTTGATTGTTTCACTCCTACAACTATTTGAAAACGCTACATTAATTTTCTACATAGCTCTGTAGTTAACAGCGTGCATCAAAACTTTAATGAAGTCAAATTTTCATAGAGAAAACGTATAATTGAACAGCAACATTATTTGTATTCTTAGAAATAATCCTATACTACAACTATAATACGATATGCCAATGTTAACATGGATTACATTGCGAGCTTAGCAAAATTTCATTAGCTGCTACAGTAGTTTGTCTACATTTATTTTTACTTTTGGTGTTTTATAATATAATACTGCAAATGATGCATTAAAACTTAGGCCCACTTTAGCTTTAGGATTGTGCAATAAAATCCTGGATTTGCATTACTGTGTATCAAGTTTAAAAAATAAAATCTGGACTTTACCACGAAATGAAAAATATGTATTTATGTATATATTTTGCATACAAATTTGTTTGAGGGAAAAACTTTATAAGTATATTATATACAATAAAAATTTGATTTTGTACATGTATGTATAATGTCAGATTAATTACGATTATTATATTACATAGACAAACAATTGACTAAAATGAAATTGATTTTAGTGGAAAGATATCTAATTACAAGTAAGTTTACATCAATCGTAGCTTTACACATGAATGTGCATAACTGTCCATGATTCTTTTTTCCCTCTTAAGGAATCTACTTTGTCATGTATTAAAAAAAAACGATCACTTCTTTTGTAATACGTATTAAAATTTTTTAATCATAGAACCAGTCTGCGTGGATGTATCGCAAGTATTGTTCTAAATAGGAATGTCATGTAGTATCGAGTGTTGATTTATTTTAGTATGGACTTCTATTAAAATCACTTGTTTAAATTTGAGTATCAACAACTTGGCTAGATTTCGTTTGTTTATTCTAGTATTGTGTGTATCAAAAAATTTTTTATTTCACATTCGCGTGTACTTATGTTTTAGATAAAAATAATTTTCACCAACTCAATCTCATCTCAACAATAATATAGATTTGATTAAAAAAATAAGTTTCACTTATAACTTCCTGTTGCACTAAAAAGCTGTACTAAAAATCGCTTATCATGCTCAACATTAGATTGATGAAAAACAATCAATCATGATTAGTAATTTACATCTAAATCGTAGGATTTAACGCTTAGATCAGATTAAGTTTTACTCTACTAAATTTTTTATGCAATCTAAGAGATTCTGTTACTTGCAAAAGTAACATATGTGTAAATAAAACTACATATGTATATAAATATTTATAAACAATTAATCAGTTACTTTAAAAATCGATATTGAGATTATACTATGATTGGCAATTACTTCGTTATCTTCGTAATATTGATTGTACATGTTTTAAACTTAAAGAAAAAAGAAATTTATGCATTTTTTTATCATAATTAAATTCAATCATTAGAGAATCATAGAAATTTCAAGAGTATATTTCTTACAACAAAAACTATGTATGAAGATTCCGCAAAGAAATAACTTATAGATTTTTCATAAGCGATAAATTTGATTATAATATTAAAATACAAATATCAATTCAGTTATTTGTGTAAAAAAGTGATTTTATGTTTTATCTGCAATGAAGAAATATTGCACATTTATAGATAAACTAAAGTTCATGATGAATGAAAGGATTTCAGTATAAAGTAATTTTCTTAAGATAAAATATTTTTTCATTTACTAAAGTTGCCGTGAAAACTGGAAAACTACGTAAACGTGATAATATGCGATTTACGCAAGATTGTACCAAAATAATTTTTAAGGCAACAACATTACATTCTAACAGATTTGTCAACGATTGTATTTTCTATAACAGCGAGTCAACCGTTGTTCATTGGGCTTTGCTTGGAGCTTCGTTTTAATTATTTTTTAGCTTATCCATTGGACTTTTCTTTTCTATCATAGAACAGATACCTAAAATTGTAGCGAGCAGACCTGGTAAAAAATTTCACATAAGACAAACGTCGAACGCTTTGAAACATCGCCAGAGTCGTTTGCGTTGGATTACGTCTTGTCCCCAGGCTCGATTTTGCTCGTACTCGCATTTACTTCTCATCTAGACAAAGAGGAACTTGCTACCGATCGTCCGCTTACTGCCGACTGCAGACTCATCATAGAACCTCTGTAAAATACAAATAAGGATTGACAAATCTTAATGTGATTGAAGTGCACGTTGAAATAATACGGAAACACTCAATTACTTGTAATTAGCTGAGGGTAAGGTTTCATAGAAATACATCAGCTGGGCTTTGTGTGAACTAATTGACGAAAGGAATTCTTGCTCTTCCGAATTCTGCCACTGTAGAATATAAACACCTGCGTCTTGCATTATATGAGTTCCCTGCAAATAATGTATTACCATTAGTAAAGACTGCCCAAATTCATTGGGTGAAAAATTAATGCTTTGACATGTACCTGAATACTCTCGCCGTCGTGACACACGATACTTGGCTCGACCTTGGTACAATCAACGCCCTCTTTCCATTCTTTGCTACCGGTAACATCCTGCTCAAGAACCGTAGTTGTCTCTGGTACAGCTGAAATTTTAAAACAGCTCGTAAAAAATCCGACCATTAATTTAAATATGCACAATGTGCACCAAATATTACTATCCATAAAAAGCGTACTCAATCCATTAGATTCAGCGGACTTCTCTTTATACAGGACATTAAATATGACTTTGTGGCGCATAACATCAAAGTCCCAGGTAAGAACTGCGCCGGGATCGTCGCAATGTATGGCGACGTTGTGAACTTGACCTCGGCTCAAGCTTACGGAATGATATAAACTGTGCTCGTGCTCGGTAGACGGACCCTCAAGATCAACCTTGTATAGATTTTTTGGCACGATTCCTCCTTCCACGATATAAGTCTAGAAACATTCACATTTGCGTTATATATACATTTTTATTACAACATATTAGGGTACGTGGATTTATTGAAACTGCACCAGGATTATTTTAGAATCTCGTGAATTTGGGTGAAACTTATCTCTAAGCTATGCACGTCTTTGGAATTTAACATTATTATTTTCGTTGAAGAGGGTAAAGAGAGTAATATTCTTACGAAACTTTGTCGAAAACATTAATTTTGAATTTTTTATTTGTGTATGTACGAACATCTAGACATAAATTGTTATAAACTTGTTTGCTCATTATATAATTGAAAATGGATAAAAGTTGCAAGTATAAGTTGCTAAAAAATAAAAAATTTCATGTTGTAAAACACTGAAAGAAAAAAAATGCGTAAGACGTTCACATTAGCACACTGAATTTTCCACGACACTGGTTTATGATTTGCATATACATTTAAAAAGTCAATTTGTTCGATGCGTCATAAGTGTTTTGCAATTTTAAACACATCGGTTCAACAAGTGCTGGAAAACAGTGCAAAAATGCATATTCATTAGACAAGAGTCTAATAAATGATTGTGTGTTCTGATAAAACGTGAATTTTGAAAGTGGAAACTTTTTTTCGACATTTATCTTACGTCATTGGATGAATCAAAAATGTAAAATCGTCGAGGTATGGTATAACACACTTCGCACAAACCTTCCTGTTTATTGAAAAAGTGAAGAAAAATAATAATCTGATGTGTAAACGCATGACAGCTTAATCATATGTAATTTCATAGATAAGGATTGTTCTAAGAATCTCTATTATGCAATAGCTCTAAGAAACGTCACGCATAAAAATAAAAAAAAAATAAAACCACAGAATATGTTTTATTAGAATTAAGATTTATACCTCTGAAGAACCGCCCAAGAACTCTGGTATATATTCAGGATCGACGTAATCGGTAAGGCCACCTACTCCCGGTTCTTGGTAATCAGTTCCACAATAGAAAATGAATTTATTTCTCGTGTTTTCATCTGTTGAGCATATAAATATTTATATATATGTCTTGTTTTAATATCATTTAAAACATGGAAAAAAAATACTTACGGATAAAAGTACTGATTAGTGTCCACAGAATCGGGAAGCATCTTGGTGCTCTTAATATTAAAACGCGTCCCATAGTCTCGGGATAATTACATTCAACAATTTCAATAATACGAAGGAGAGCCTTAATACCAGGTCTCCACAGGTGACGCATATTTAATCCTTCTAAATCAATCAATAATGTCCACTGGGAGACAGGGCGACCCCAAACATTTGTAGCTTCATCCATCAAGGAAAGTCCTTCTTCGCAAATGTGTAGTGCCTGTGATTAAAAACAAACATTGTCATTTTCAACGATGTAAAAATCAACACTTGAGTATATTTGAATGACAAATACCAATAACAACAATTCGTCTTCTCCGATAGACTTGAGTAAACCCTTAACGTCCATTTGTCCTAATCTTAAAACATAAAGCGGCCTTCCCTCTTTATCAAAGTGATGCCAGCCACCCGGGAAGTAATCTTTAACAACCTGCGGAGCCTCGTACTCTTCGAGAAGTTTGTCTATTTGATGCTTTTTCCTCCAGTGAAGTGATTGGGTCAACATTTCTCTGGCCTTGTCCACGGAAAATTCTCTTGCGCGCAGAAAACGGAGTAGCGTTGTGTCTGGAGGCACAGAGCTACCTCTCAGGTCTTCGATGCTGTGTCTTAATTGTACTAATTTGCTTTCTTGCATCATGTCGAGTTTCCCCAAAAAACGCTCGATGTAATCCGAAGACAACTGCACTTCTTTAATCATAATGGTATTTTAATTACTTGTCTACATTAATGTCACATAATTACGGAGACATGAATGAATTACCTCGATTACTAGGGAGTTTGCCTTCTATGGAATTTCTTTCGTTAAATTTCGCTGCTTCTTTTTTTTCTTCTATGGGAGAAGCTCTGTAATAATTAAAAGAATACGTAATTTTGGGCTTTTCAAAAGTCACATGATCACCATGCGGCGTTTTTTATCGAATTACTATGGGTAAAAAAAATAATTACGCTTTTTCCACAACTTTGGTATTCTCTAGCGGGTCTTTCCATGGCTCGACATGTGTGATACCCTCTTCATTTAATTGACTAACGAAAAAATCAATAATTTCTTTTCCCTGAAAAATATGAATTATGTGATATTCACATTGAACAGGAGCTTAAAAAATATCCAAACTAGGTGCTACTAGGCTAATAAAACGTACTTTGGCAATATTCTGCGCATACTGTTTCATGGCTAACTTTTCCATTGAATTTTCAAATCCAAAGAAATTTTTGATATCCAAAGTGGCTGCTTGCTCGAAGCAAGTCCATTCAGAATTTTCGGGGTGAACCTGCAATTATGTATAATTATTAGTATAACTTGTGTACAATCGATAAAGCTGCTTTATTATTGAAGGAGGCGTACTCACAAAATATTTACACTTTTCCAGAACTGTGACCCTACTGGAAAAACTTTCGTTCCACGCTTCAATTTCTAAAACGCTATTACGACGGTCGAGGACATTTTTTTGTATAAAGAATACGTAATCCACGCCTATTATCTGTTGAATGGAAAATTTGTTAATCAATATTTTTTGCCCCTAACACACTATACACCTGAATTATTAAATTTATCTGCCAGACAGAGTGGCAATATTATTTGACAAACGTATAAAGTACCTTTTTTAAAATGTAAGGAGCATCTACGTTTAATTTACACCTCCTCTCTGTTGTTCTTATGGCTCCATCTTCACTCTCTTCGTCTTTTATTACATCACATCCTAGGAAAACTGGAATTTGCGGACAAGTTGGAAATCTTCGTTCATACGCCTATAAAAACACAAAAAATTACGTGCGCATGAATTTTTAATTGTTTATTAATTCAAGTTCATCTGATGTTGAGTCCAGAACGCAAAAAAACATTTAGACAGGTTTTACCTTTAGAAGTTTAAATAAAATTACTTTAGTAAATTATTTTAAAAAATAATGTTGAAAAACTGTAAATGAAAAAAATTTTCCTACCTCAATTATCTTTAAACGTGATATTGACAATAAGATACTTGAAAATTTTCATCATTACTTTTTAGTAATAATAACCACACAAGACTAAATTTCTTTGTTTCGAAAAATAATTGTAAGCAAAAACATGATAAAATAAAAATACTTGTTTTCTTTTCGTTTCGACTTGCGTAGCATTGAAATTCTTTGATCTTTTTATATGTAAGAGCTATAGCACTTCAAGGTCACTGTGTATGTACTACTTTACATTTTTACAAGTGAGCTATAATGACGGTGATAATCATTAACCCAGCATAGCCACAACAACTCAATGTCGACTCATTACACGGATTTATCAATAATTCAAACAGGCCGATAATAACGACTCCATTGATTAAGTCGCTTCTTCATACATGTATTCATGTAAATATACATATACAACACGAGAAGTATAATTTTATCTACCATCAAGTTTTTGGCAACAAAAACACGAGTTGCGGTATTTCACAATGTAGCAAGTAAAAATTCTAAATATTTTCGTGCTTTGGTTTCATATTACGACGATCCACTTTTATGCAGATTCAACTGGATGAAGAAAGGAGAGACAATTTAAAGTCATTGCCTTTAATTGATACTTCATACGAGGGAATGCCTCGAATTAAAAATTATAGTTTGATTCGATAATGTACACATATATAAATCGCAATTTGTGCTACACAAAACATATGCACTATTATTTCATAAAGAAATCGTATTTTGGACAACATGAATCATTGCTAAATTTATGATATGGTAAAATGGAATGTGACGAGACGGGGCTGCAATTATATGTACATTTATGTCTGTAGAGTACAAAAAGAAAAAGAAAACTTTTGTTTCTGTTTTGTACGGTTTATTTTTTGTTATTTTAGAACAAATAGAGATCATCTCATGAATGGATACTAACGACGTCCAAGAGCACTAAATAAAGAAAATAATATATCTGGCATGCATGAAAAGCCCAATAATCTCGTTCTCTTGATCATGATTGAATTAAGTACGACAATCTGAACTGGAATGTAATGAAAGGGAAAGTTGACCTCAGAGAAGAGAGGTACACATTAGCACGAGGAGAAAAAAAAAATTGAAAGAGAGAATTAAGAGAACAAGTTATGAGTGCTACGAGTCATGTAGTGTTAGCACAAAAAGAAACATACCACCTTAATTGACTTATAGGCTTGGGCGAATGTGTAATTTTTATCCTTTAAGTCTCCTTTCACGGAACGAGACAGAGAGAAAAAAAAAAAAAAAGTAGTGTCTGTCTATAGCTCAACATCATAAATATAAAAAAAGTTTCTATAGAGCTCCAATGCCCCTCATTCATGATAAATTATTGAGATGACACACAAAGGTGCAAGTAGTTCGTGCGTGCACTCGTTTTTTTTTTTTTTCAAAGAAAAAATCATAGAGTAACGTCAGAATTGAATTTGCGTGCATAATGAGGCGCGTAGATTTTTATACAGCATTTTCAATCATCACTTTCACAAGTCGATATTATAATGTATACGCCTGTAATTGATGAGCCTGTCTGCACATAGGGTGGCGGGTGGTGGGCGCGATTGTCAGTCCCTCCTTAAATATGTTGGAGGAAAATAAAACAGAGAAACTTTATTGGGTCTTCGTGGGCTGTAGTAAAGAGGAAGAAAAAAGCTAGTCAGCGAACAAGCAAACGCGTATAATTTCGAAACGGTCCATATACAGTAGACAAAGCCATATACCAGACAGACAGCAGAAGTACTCACTGGGTCGAGAAAGAACAAAAAATAATTAACCGCATGGAAAGAAGTTTAAGAAGTTAAAAATGTATGTCTGGGTGTTGGTCATGGGTGTGAAAAGTACATCATGTCATTGTACCAGAATTTCGGGTTCTAAAGACTTTAGAAAAAAAGCAGCAGGTGACATCTATTACATCTAATGAGGAATAATATTGTAACGTACCATCATGACGAGGGCAAAGGGGTACTTGTAGACCCGGACGGGTGACTGGTACTGTTGGACCATGATTGCAGCTACTACTGGAGTACCAGGGCGATAATGAAACTCGAGTCTCTCGAGTCAGAGCAGACTGCAGATTACTCGTGACACTGTTTGTTTTTTTTTTTTCTTTTTATTTACGTCCGTGTTGCGTTGTCTCTGGGGGGCAGACACCCAAGAGAGGTGTTGTGTGTGCAGTCAAGTACGAACTAAGTTCCACGGCAATGCAATTCCATGCAGAAGGTCGACGATTCCAATGGCACGCTCACAGATGCACAGCTGATGTTATGAGAGGGTGTACATATATGTTGGAGGTCTACTGTGTACAACTCTCTCTCCTCCGTAAGCTGTAACGACTGTCACGAGGATGTTTCCACACTCGAAACGAAATTACTCTCCTTCTTGGTAAAAGGTGTACACTGCACTGCACGCGCGACACGCCAGAGTCTGTCGCTGGTTTGTTTCCGACGGTCTGCTCCGCTTCAATAGTTTATGATATGATGTGTGACGTATGTGTATATGATACACAATTATTAAGACAATTGCGTCAGTTGGCGTCAGTTGCGTCCCGCGTCTGCGTGGTTTCACCGTCAATTTTACAATTTCACACGATTTTCACACGAGCTGCACACTAAAAGCCATGTATAGCTCAGGCTCACACTCAATACCTGATAAGTTGCTGTTTAACTGCATTACTCTGTCCGAGACGATGATGATGTGTTCTCCACTTCTCCCTTCTTTCCTTTCCCTCTTTCAGAGATCAGAGAGTTCATCAATGGAAAATTTTATGTAGCCGATGTATATGTAAGTAGGTATACACAAACATAACACAGAACAAACGTGGTGGTGTATGGAATGATGTGCCTGATTTAGAATGTTGTGGTGGTGTAGCAGACAGAAAATTCCGTGAGTGTGACGGGTGACCCCCAACGACGGAGTTTGTTTCGTTGAGCAAGCGATTTAAACATTGGCTAATTCGATCGATACAACCTTTTTTATTGGTGGATTTCGTACTTCGCGCTCAACGAATTATACACTCTGTCGATTGTACAGTGTGCCCGTTATGGTAACATATCGAGCATCGGTAAGGTAGGCAGCAAACTTTTTGAGATCGTTTAAATTAATTATATTTATCATAAATTAAAAACAATTAGTGATGAATTCTTACCCAAAAAATCTGTGACAAAAAAAAGTTTGACAGCAGGACCATGCACCGTCCCTGATACTGATTTAACTCGTCTCTGGATAAAATACGTTCGGAATAAGTGCGTAGGCTTTTCTAAAAAATAAAATAAGTTTTAATAAAAATTTGCAAAATCTTGACGTAATCTATGTAAGGGAATATCCATCATCTACTTTTATAAGCTAATTTTGGTATAAAAAAAAAAAAAAAAAAAAAAAAAAAAAAAAAAAAAAAAAAAAAAAAAAAAAAAAANAAAAAAAAAAAAAAAAAAAAAAAAAAAAAAAAAAAAAAAAAAAAAAGAAAAAGAAAAAGAAAAAATCCTTATAGTTACTAGAGCATCCACAAGATGGCAGCAGAGGTACGGAAAACCAAGGCAGGGGGAATAAAGCTGCGCGCTTTATTCAAACACCAGAGTTTGCAAGCTCGACAAACTGATGAGCACGGACGTGACAAGATGGCGCCTCGCGTCCGTAAAAGAGCGTCGAGTGTCAAATTTACTGAGTATACCTGTATACATCCATCCGTGTATACAGCATGCATACCGCGTAGGGGTACCGAAGGCCGTAACGGAGGCGGGTAGCTACAGTGCAAAGCGCAACTTTCTCGCGTGGCGGAGAGTGTGTTCTCCCCCAGCCTCTCTCCTCTCTCTTCGGAGTGTAGACCATCATCTATAACATACGGCGAGCGGGTCGAACGGGTATCCAGTGTGTACAGTACACACTTGGCGTTCAGGCGATGTAGTCGCGGACACACTCTCGGGACAATATAATGCGGAGGCGGACGTGACCGAGTTTGTATATAGGCGCAAAAGAAAGAGAACGAATAAGTACCACCATTGGGGGAACGAGAGAAAAAGAGAGCCAGTCCGCGGTTCTCAAGTTTGAGAGAAGAGTGTGTGAGATTTTGTACACATATAGGTGTCTTGCAGCCAGAGCATCGTTAATTGCAAAAACACCGAAGCAGACACTATACGAGCAGCAAGCCATGTTATACTTTCCTCCTCGGAGTCGTTGTCCTAGTGCGTGTGGACATACCTAAGGAAACATATACACAACAGGTATATATCTATACCTTTATACGTCTGCGGTGCTGTGACTGCTCTGTGCTTTTTTGTGCGCGTTAGTGTGGGTGTGTACATACATAAGATATAACATACTTCTTCTGATTCGGTGCGAATCGCGAAGTGTGTTCTCGCTCTCCCGAGATGAGATAGGGAAGAGACGCGGGGCAAATAAGTATACTTGCACGAATACATCCCACGAGCGCGCGAGCGAGTGATATAGGTACTCACATATTTGTGCTCCAGGATACATTACTTATGTGTACTTGAAGAGAAAAAAAAAAAAAAAAATGACGTTGTTCGCGGTGCAGCAAGCCGCTAGTGTACGGTTAGCGGCAACGCAAACGACGCCGCTGTGTACCCTCGACGATCCTTTGGACTCCTGAAAGACCGAGCTGGTCTGGTACAGAAAGGTGGTACACCTACAAGTGTCCAACGGAGTGTGAGAAGAACAACACTGAAGAATTCACGTATATATAGTGTGTATACATACGGGGTCTCCTGCTCTCCTCTCTTCCTCCTCTTCTTCAGCTTTAGTGTGCGCGCGAGAGGATATACAACACCATAACCATATCCCCCCATGTCCTTGCCTCTCCACGCATACACCCTATGCACCATGCATGCATCCGTGCATGGTACATAAGCACACAAAGGAAGCTGCTGTTGCGAGAGTATATTATATACACTATACGCTCAGAGTGTAGGATTTAAAAAACGAGGAGGCGGTGAATGGAGCGAGCGTTGTACATGGAATATACAGTCAACAAGACTCTTCCGTAAAAAAGAAGGTACACGGTTGTTTTGGTCATCGGAGCCATTAGCCCCGGAAGTAACGGCGACGACGACGGGGTAGCGCCGCGGCTATATTTTCAAATGGAGCCGACGACGACGGGGACGAGGAGCAGAAGTTGTAGTGGTTCGCGTCTGCTGGTATTATGCTGCCTTCTGCTGCTGACACTCGTGCGCTCTGGTAAGACTTCATTTACTTTTTGTTTTTATTACGCAAGCTAATATAAATACAATGTTTAATTAGATGTTCTTGGGGTGCTTGTTTTGCCTCCTCATTTGTTGTGTCCAAGATCTCGTTCGTATATAAAGGCGAAACCATTATTCTCTGATTTTTTTTTGTGACAAAAATCGGTAAGAGACCTGGAAGGATGTACGCGACGGTTTGTTTTGTTTTTTTTTAAACAACCGGGTCCGCAACATGTCGGTTACCTACTACCCCCCTGTAGCGAGCCGGCGTTTCCACGGGAAAGACGTAAAACCATAAATTATTAATGAGCCCGCTCTCTCGGCAGCTCGAACTAAGTAAGTGCACACGCTACAGCGACTGCTCTGGTTAATTATGATTTGTTTTCCACTGGCATGCGATTGGGTAGTTTGTTGCCCCAACTTGTCCTCGATGGAAAAGGAGAAAATAAATGAAACGCTCTTTAATACTGATCAATTACCGATCGTTGTTTGTTTGTTTTTTTTTTTTTTCTGCTGTGGAGTTGCAGTAGTAAAAATCGGTTCAGTCGGTTGGTTTGCCCACGGTAAGTAGTAGGTAGCTAGGCATTTTTCGCAAACTTGACACGTTTTCCTTGGATGTAAAATAATGTTCCCATAGCTACGCATGATGAATGTTTGCACGCTTGTCATAGTACATGTAGGAGCAAGGTGTGAAGTAAGACTTCTCTCTTTGATGAAAAAAAAAAAAAAAAAAAAATTGACGTCTCTCGCGAACTTGCATAATACACTCGAAAGAGGGAGTTGTTTGCAGCTTGTCGAAGAAAATTACAAGTAAATGATTCATCGGCTTGATTGGAATTTAATTTTTCCACCCGTAGGAAACAATCGTATACGTACACCGATAAGACCCTGCGCGGGTGATTAAAACCTTAAACGTTTCCCAAGCGTAGGTTTTATTTTCAACACCGACCGGCCGACGCGTACTTTTTTCGTCGTTTCTCCCCCTCTCCGGAGTAAGTACGTGACTCTGAGCACTCGTGTGAGATTATTATTTTCGGAGGATTTCGCGATAGCATTGGGATCGGTACAATCAATTTTTGGATCCCAACCGTGTTTCCTTCAAATTCCCGTGCGAGCGACAGTTCAGATCGGACTTGTACTGACCGCCCGCGGATTCTCCCTTTTTTTTCCAGGTACTCCGAATCCAAAAAGACCTCGAATCGGAAAAACGGCACGTATACCAAGAAACCCTCCCACAACAGAAAAAAAAAAACCTTGCTACCGCGTAAGGCTTTATTTGTAAATCATTTACGCCCGCCCACTAGAGAAAAAGAAATATCGCTTTGAACAACAACGATGTGGTGAGGCCAACCACGCACAGGTGTATTTTAACGTGTGTATAGAGGTAAAAAAAATATGGGCCCCGAAAACCAAACTCCTTTTCACCGAGGCACGCATCGTCGTCGCACCTTAGCGCCGAATCGTCCGTTACCGTAGCAATATAATTATTACATTGTGCTACAGCGTCAGGATCATGAAAATCATAAAAATGCAGGCACACGAAGTTGCTCACGGTGTGTGTATATAAGTACACACACTATACAAGAAGACATCAGTGGTAAAAGAAAGGGCCATTGTATATAAGAGTCCCAAGCGTGTGTAAAAGGAGTCCCCTTTCTCTCTCTCTCTCTCTCCTCCGAAGTATAGCTTCATGGTGTGCTGCCGGACGAAAGACACGAACAGTCCTCCGTCCCCCGGGTGTCTTTTGTTTATCTCCTCTCTCTCTACTCGTATGCGCTCTCCGCGAGAAAGATCATCTTCGACGCCTTCGCTCCCGCTCCTATATTGCTTTTTTTCTGTTTTTTCTTTTCTTTTTTTTTTCTCGCGCGTGTACCACCAGTTCTCGCCCGTTTGGCGATTCCACGCGCGCCTCTTCGGCCTCGGTCTTGCCCCTTTTTTTTTCTTCCCTCTTTTCCCTTCGTCTTCTCCTTCGGGAGGCGGAATAATATCCCGCTCGCGCGAGAGAGAAATGCTGCCGCGTCGGCTCTTGACTAGCGTTATATATGTATATACCTACACCGGCAACCTTCGCCGGAAAGAAATTATCGGACGTTTTCGCGTGTAATTTGTCAAGGTGTTGTGTTTTTCTCTTTCCTCCATCATCGGCGTGCACGTGGACGGCACGTCCTACAGCCCCGCGATTCTCCCATATCCTCAATTGAATTACCGACTATGCTCTCGCGACGTGTGCGTACATGTTATACGCGTCATTTTTGCACGTCTCCCCCCACACACACAACCGGCAATAAATAATCCGATCGGGCGAAATTTGCTCCCGCGTGTAGTGATGGTGATGATCGCGCGCGTCTGTAAAGCCTCTCTGAAAAAATCGACGGACGAGTGAGCGAGTTATTGCCGATTTTGTTTTTTGTTATTTTTCACTTTGGTGTGTAACTGCGCGTATACAGCGTTGCTACTACGTGCGCATATGCAGTATGTTGTGTATAAAATGTGCAGTTTGAGTGATGTATGAATATGAGAGCGCGCCGTAAGAGCAGCAGCAAGGGGAACCGCTTTTTTTTACCCGAGGAGTCTGGGGCTTTTGCGTATATAGGTATTTTACGTTACACGCCCTGGTGCAGTGTTGTAAGTGGTATATTACAGAGGAAAGGTTGCAGGTTCTTTTTTGTCACGCGTGCGTTTGCCCGTGGACAAAAAAAAAAAAAAAAAAAAAGAAAGTTGAACGAAAACTTTGAATAACTCCGGTACGCGGAATTTAAAGAAAAAACCCAAACGAATTTTATCTCTGAGTATAAATGTTTGGGCACATTTCATTGTAGTAGGCTTGTGCGATACCTCCTCCGAGACGGTAGACATTTACCTGTTGTGGCCATAGTCCAAGCTTTCCGCTAATCACTGAAGAAACTCGAAAATCTCAAAAACCTTCCTCCAGAGACCACCGAGACTCCCCAAAGGTCTCGAAATTTTTCCGGGACTTTAAAGTCTCGTTGCATTTCTCGGTCTCGCACATGCTTACACTGTACGGTATCATATAATTTTTTTCCATTCATCGTAGAGAAAAAAAAAAAAAAAACCGCCAACAACACACTCTCCGAGCGACTTATTGTATAATAAAATAATTTGCTTATTCTCTTTATTCAGGGAGGGGAGAGTCACCATCAGCATACATCGCGGGATCCTCTTGAATAAGCGCGAGCCGTTAAAACCCCTCCCGACGGTCGGTCCTGATGATAATACACACTCGGATATAATATAATAGACAGACTGAGGCTGCTGCACTTTTTTTTAAAAAAGCCCCCCCCCCCAGCCTCCCTTTCAATCTCGCCCAAACGAACAACCATCCGCTTGTCCACCCGTCCGTCTGCTCCTCTTTGCGTTTATTTTCCTTTCTTTTTTTTTTCTCTTCTACATACACATGTACCTACTCTCTTCATTGTTTATTTGGCCCGGTTCTATTAACGATCATACGCATCAGCAGCGGCACACGAGCCATCAGCGACGACAATGCCGAATAAACAGCAATTGAATCCCAGCAGCCGTAGGAGCAGCTATTGTTATTCTTCCCTCCAATTATACATACGAATGAGTCTTGGCTGCTCTTTGCACACACACAAACACGCTATATGTAGCGCATAATGTATTTATTTTATTTGCCTCCTCCTCCATCCATTCATTGGCCTTTGCTCCTTTTTGCTTTCTCTCCGCTTCTTCTCTCGATCAAGCTATATACACGTATTACATAGCGCACATACCGACACGTATAGGTGGTATGTATATATATATATGTACGCACAACCGGTATGATCCCAGCATCCTCCTCCTCCTCCTGCTCCTCTGCCTAGCTCCTGCCAGACAGGCAAACGCCGCTAGACTGTACTCTCGTATTCCGCATGAAATGCCAAGAACGCGACGATCCCCTCCCTCTCCTTATCTATAGGTACAGTACTTTTGTACACCAACTCGGCGAATCCCACGTGGAGTATTATTATCACGGTACCGTATGTTTGTACCCCCTTCTCCCCGCGTGTGTAACGATCTCTGGCGCGCGACCGCGAGTTTTTGCCGGTTTTCGTCCTTGATGCTGCTTTTGTGTATCCCCTCCCCCCCACCCCCACCCCGGCTTTTCTCTCGCCTTCGTTTCGTCGAGCCCCGGGAAATTGCATCCGGACTACCCTCCCGCTCTTCTCCTCCTGCGTGTAAGTACTGCGTGGTGGCTCGTCTCTTTGGCAAATCCTTTGGGCGACGCGGAAAAAACGAGACTAGTATGCTGCCATGGAGGCTGGGGCAGGCAGAAAAAAAAAAAAAAAGAGTCCGAGCAATTTCTTCCCGCGTTTCGCTGTCGAGGTGTCGCGCGCTCTCTCTCTTTTGCCAGTTTGTGTGTGTACTCTCTACACCCGCGGTCGGATTGTTTGGCCCGCTGGGTTTTTTTTTTTGTTTTCCCCCTTTTTTTCTCTTCCTCTATTTTTTTTTTCAGCGTTTACGGAAGTACACGTATACTTACCTGCGCTCACCCGTGTGCAATTACTTTTTTTTTTTTTACAACAATTTTCCGGTAGGCAGATTGATAACTGTAGAATGTATACACGGGGGGAGATAGCCGATTGCGAAATAATATTAAATCCGAGCGCCTGTTTCACGGGGTTTATAAAAATAACAACACGACGTAGGTGTGTATATTATATATCTGTCTCTCCCGCGTGCGAAATGCAAAGTATTTTAATAAATATTTTTACATGTATATATACCTGTACGGAGCCGAACGAACGATTACGCGTATTATATACGTGCTAACGCGTGTTTGAAAGCTGAGCGCGAGAAAATAAAAAAAATAACACGAGAGACGGAGAAACACGTTGCCGACTACCACTAGTGTGTATAATATATAATATGTAGAGCTTTTCCGTTTGATATTCTAATTTTAATGTATATATAATATAAATATCTACTCTCGCCGTATAGCGCGCGGTCTTGCAGAGGCTCCGTTTCTACGGTCGC